TCTGTTTAAGGCCGACTGGCACGGCCAATCAACTACAATTTTGGTCGATTTTCAGCATTGGACTTATTGAAAATGGAGGGCTGACCAAACCCACCGAAAAGTCAGTACAACGACAAATCTGTTCCGTTGAGCAACTTTTTTTTCAGATTATCACCCCGGAAGTCACACCTTAGTGAACATACAGTTCACACCTTAGCATCTGTTTGGTTTGAATTGCTACTTTCTGATAGCTATGCTTTATGCCTGATGCTAGAAACTTGTTTATAGTTCTCCGACCAACTATGACCTCATTTGGCCTTAAGTGACAAGAAACAGAAAAAAGATTACTCAGTTTCGTCAAAACTGATATCCCAACAAAGACACAGTATGTGCTGGAGGACTCACCCTTCCGCGATCAGGACGCATGACCATTTTGTTGATGAACCTATCGAGAGGGTCGTTTTTCATAAAGACTTCTGTTCCGCTGATCACAACGGCGCAGAGTGACCTATCCGCTCCGGGGACGTTTGCAACAAAGTTTTCCCAAGAACCTAGAAGATACGATAAGGTTGCGCTGATACACTGATTGGTGGCAAAAAACTCTTGTTGGCACCCGCTAAAGAGAAAAGTGTTTTTTGGAAATAAGCAAACAAATCTACTAAAGTAATTGGAGTTAGAGTAAACGAGGAGGCCAATGGGTTCTAAATAGTAGTAAAAAACCCATAATATTTTTTTAACTTGAAAGATCGAACACAATTTATTCGCGCCAGTGCGTGTGAGGAATAGAATGAATGGAAAGGACTTCACTTACCGGCCGTGGAAACAATGATGTCATGTTCGAAAACGGTGAGGTCCGGATTGTCAGCGGTGAAAGTGTCACGAAGGAGTGTAACCAGAAGCACAGGCCGCTTAGTTGGAGCGTCAGTGCTAGGTGACATTTCCTCCCTAGCATAAAGCATGATGCTTTAGATATATTTAAAAGTCCAATTCGGTATTCCAATCACTAAAACTAGCAGAAAACTGCCATTAAGAAATTATGTTTGAGCAGGACACCGTTTTTTGAGGACTGATAACGTAACCTTTAGTCTTCCAGTTCAGTGATCTTCTTGTAAAGGCAAGCTCAAGTAACAGGGAAAACTGTTTCAAAACGCTAAAAGAGTTCTTACCTGTTGTCAAACGGCTCAGTAC